AACAAAGTCACACTCAATAAGGTACCATATTCCTCACCACATTTTTAAAAATATTGGCGGCCTTGAATTTGTGTTGAGATGTGATCTCGACCCTTGCAAAATTCCTCTGAAGGTATCTAATTTTCATAAACAAGTACTGCTTTTTTGGAAAATGATATTTACCCACAACTTTTCCCCTCACAACTCCACTCTTTGGAACAATAGGGCTGCAATTATTAATAGGAAATCTCTGTTTAAAAGTGATTGGTATAGCCAAGGCATTATTTTTATTCATGATTTATTAGATGATAATGGCTTTTTCCTATCTTATAATGATTTCATTAACAAATACAGAGTTAGAATTACAATAGGTTATAATAAGGTATGCAATGCTATACCCACTGGATTGTTAAGAATAATCCAAAGCAGTTTTTCTGATCTTTTATCTAGACCTGTAGTTTCTCTTCCCTCTTTGAAAATATGTAATGTTGACCTTTTAGACGGTAAGTGTAATAACAAACTTATTTACAAAAAACTTAAACGTATTATCACTGGTGATTATCGGTATTATTTTATGGGAGATGTTAAAACCTCAGTAAAGGACAAAGCTTTTACCCGTTATTATATGGCATACCCAGTTGCTCCAAAGGTCAAGGAGACTCATTACAAAATTATGTTTAGGATTTACCCAGTTAGTGACTTTATACACAAACTATTTCATTTCGAGGTGGATCCTTGTGGTTTCTGTTCTTCTTTTCCTGAAACACTTGATCACCTTTTCTTTTACTGTGAGGCTACTTCTAAGTTTTGGTTCGATATACATAGCTGGTTGTCAGTAAAAATGGAGACAATTCCTCCTATAACCCAAGATGTCGTCTTTTTTAAGTGTGATTTAAATTCATCCTTCTCTGATGTTGTAAATTTTGTTTTGTTGATGGGTAAATATCATATCCATACTTGTAAATGGAAAAAATGTAAGCCCTCCTTCAATATATTTTTATGTGAGTTTGCTAAAATGTTTCAGAGCTTCAAATGCTTCAAAAAACATAATATAAAATCTGAAAAGTTATGCTTCTCTTTGTCAAAATATTTATTACTTTAGTATCTTTTTTTCTTTATAATGTCTACATCGACTACATCTTTGTTTTCATCCTTGCTCCTTGTGTTTATTTATGTTTATTTTTTATGTCTTCTTTTGTTTTTATTGGCGATTGGCAAACAGCTTTCGGGTGCATTACCGCCACCCACTGATCTGGAGTGTGGACTCAGGATCTAAATCACTATACACAACACCCCCCCAAAAAATCAATAAACTATTATTGATAACTATTTATTAGTCTTGTTGATCCTAAACGCTCTAGAAGTAGACTCCAACCCTTATCATCTGCAGATTTTTTAAGAATATTACTAATATTTTGCTCTCCATTCTCTCTTAGTGCATTCTTTAAAATTTCTCTCTCTGAATCATACTTCTGGCAATGCAATAAAACATGGTCTTCTGTTTCTTCCTCTCAGCAGGAGCAGCGGCAGGCTCCGGTCCGAGGAGAAACGGAAGAGGTTCGGCGAACCCGCCGGCCCCGAGCTATGGACTCCCCGCTCCTGAAGCTCTGCTGGAGCAGGTGAAGCTGCGAGAGGCAGCGGCCCGTATGAGCGACTCATGGGTCGCCATTTCGGAGTCGGTGCTGGCGCGAAACGAGAGCGCTCTGGTCCGCTGGCTGGAGGAGCGGCTGAGCCGCGGAGAGGAGTCCGTCACTCTGGAGCAGTTCTGTGAGATGCTGGAGAGCAGAGACGCGCCCAGAGATGAGTGCGAGGAGGTGATCAGACATGTCACTCAGATGAGCAATGACCTGCTGTAGCACAGTGGTTCAAGCCAGGCCTTGGCTGATAACTGAGAGTTTGCATGTTCAAGACCAAAGAAGGGTGGTTCATGAACACTCACTATAGTGCACTTCAGCAAAACGTCCCTGTCACCTAAATGACTTATTAGTAAATAAGCAGTATTTAGCTGACAAACAACTCAAAGTTGTGTAATTGACCACTTAGCTTGCTCTATACTCTGAGTGGTTACATTGTGTAATCTCTATCTTTGTATCACACCTTTGATAAAGGCTGTTTATTGGCTGTCCCCACCTAGTTCACTTTCAATCTTGACTGCATTTCAGCACATCATAGGACGGTCGTATTAGATTTGCTTTGTCTTTCTTTTTGATTGGTAGATATAGGGTTTGATTGATTACACTGACTATTATTGACCGCCGAATAGTCAGACTCATCTAGTGCCAGTATTGAATAGGTCTTGCTGTGCTGTACTTCTTGTAAATAAAAAGGTTAGGCTATAAGAAATGCTTTAGCAAATTAAATTTGGCAATAACAAATTACATTTTGACACAGATTTCTACAGTTGAACTTCTGACTATTGATTTCCAATTTTTCTATATTTTTATATGTAAAATAAACAGAAAAACATTTAGCAAACTAAATGTTTTTCTGTTTATTTTACATATACAAATTGCCAGTAAAAACTCAGCTGTATAAATCTTTTTTTAAAAGTTAGATTTGTGACTGACAGATTTAAATTTTGTTAAAGCTATATATAAACCGTAGAGAACTTTAGTGGGCATCCATAATCACAGGGCCCGGGACAATGTCCCCACTTCCCCCAACCCTGATTAAATTTAAATCCTATCCAGAGCAATTGATATTGGAGCATAAATGTGTTATTTTTCTGGGATTGGCTCAGTGTGCGGTGACGAGCCAAGTTTTACTTCCTTACAAAAGTAAAATAGTTCAGTCACGTTTCCATTGTTTATAGTCTGGTACTTTTATACATATATCTTGGTGCTAAATGATTACTTAATTCATGTACTATGTTATTTACATGGTATTTTCAGACATATCCAAAATCATTGTTGCACTGGTGCATTTTGTTAGTGTGGTGCTTTCTGGAGGTGGCTATACTGATGTAAACATGACTCACTTTCATTTGCTTTACAAATGATTCACATGCTGACTCGAGTGTGTTTGTGTAGGTGAAATGGACAACTGGTTTGAGAGATCTAGAGAGACTAGTTGTTCTTGTCCTCCTTTTGTTTTCTGTTTGCCTTCTCTTTTGTGCGATACCTCAGCCTAATATTTGTGTCACAGAACGTACAGACAGAAAAAACAAATCTCTTCCATTTGTGCTCTTTAGGCCTATGGTCAGTTTGATGCTGAGGGTGATGGGATTGTTGATGTGGAGAGCATGCTCATGGCACTGAAAAACTCCAATGGAGCCAACCTGCAGGGAGAACTCAGTCATGTGATCAGGCAGTTTCAGGCGTGCTCTTTGACTCCAGGTGGGGAAGCAGACGTGAACGTTCTTGTTTGTTTGAATGCAGTGGCGACACAAGCTCAGATGTTTGAAGTTGACCATGCCAGGTAACTATGCAAATTATTCTCATTGTTTGACCCAGTTGTTGTCCTCTTTTACCCTTCATGCTCATCCAGGGTTTGTGGATATCTTCTCCAAGTCCAAGGACCGTCTCAAAGCACATGCTTCCAAAATCCTGAAATTCTTGCACCGGAATCGCATCCCCAGCAGCGCAATCCCATTCCCTGTGCTGGAAGGCTACAACAGCATCTGCACCATGAGGTCATCTGTAGTGCAGGACTTCCTGGATTACCTGCTACAGAAGGAGAAAGGTGAATGGTGGTTATTGGGCAGAGTGGTAATAACAATTATTATATAGTGCTGCAGGGATGATATGTTTTTGTAAGCCAACCCAGAAGTGAGAATCACCCTGGTCCCTGTGGACGCTGCTGTGATTTAGGTTAAAAACGGTAAATACTCCGTACATATCAAACAAACTGTTATAACAGACAAAGCAGTAGTAATAAAAGCAGTTACTCACACCTGTGTGTTGCGCCATTACTGTCGGATCCAATATAGTCAGCACAGCATCGTCTTTTCATTTCAATCTATCTGAAAATTCTGCGTCAAAGTGTGCCTTGTTTGTAAATTAATCTGCTGTAAAATGAAGTGAACAAAGGACCAAGTTCTTACTGACGTGGTCTGGATCTTCATTAAAAATAAAGTTCATCCACTCTTTCCTAACATTGGGATCAGAAGGAAGGCAATGCAAAGACTGTGTTTTTCAACAATTTGGCACTGCACAGCGTCTTATTGTATTCAGAGCATCTTTATAGTTTGGTTTCTGCGTAGATGTGCATTTGCCCCTTTCGTTATTTACCTACTATATGTGCAAATCGGTGGGCGGGGCTAAGCAGGCAGTGATGTAGAAGCAGGCGTTGATATTCTTCTGCGAAGACGGCGTTTAGCCACACTATTACACCATAGAGTGGCACATTCTACAAGCTGTTGTTTTGGCAGACTGGCTTCAATATAAGCTGTGTTTGGATAAACGACAAACTTTTGAGTTCTGAAACTTACAGGATGTTTTTTATAGTACAGTGACCTCTTATATGTAGAACTATATAGAAATATGAGAACATTTTCCTCCATCACCTTTGCATATTCTACTGACTATCCTCTCAGATCTAGACATCCAGTACAGAGCTGAGCTCAATCATGACCCAGATGTGGATAAAGTGAAGGTGGTCACCCAGTGCTACAACTTCATAGAGGCTTCGTCCAATAGTGCAGATATCAACAAGATGACCAATGGTGAGACCGTGTCTTTCTGGCAGTCGGACGGTAGCGCTCGCTCACACTGGATAAGGCAAGCTGTCCATTTCATTTGTGCATTTTCATAGAATTAAAATAGAGCTGATGATGTAACACATTTTATTACCTTTACTAAATAACTAGTTAAATATTACCCCCATCACTTTCACAGGTTAAAGCTGAAGCCAGACATAGTTTTGAGACGCCTGGCCATTGCGGTAGCTTCTAATGACCACAGCTACATGCCGCAGCTGGTGTCTATAGCTGTAGGAAAGAACCGGCGCTCCCTGCAGGAGATCAGAGATGTGAGGATCCCCAGTAATGTCACGGGTTATGTACCGCTACTGGATAACGGCAACATCAGCCATCCTTGTGAGCATACACTTGTATAACAGAATCTTCTGTTTGAAGTTTGAATTTGTACACTACTATTCAAAAGTTTGGGGTTTTTGAAAGAAGTCTCTTATGGTCACCATGGCTTTTTGATAACAAAAATACAGTAAAACCGGTAATGTTGTGAAATATTACTACAATTTAAAAGAATTGTTTTCTGTTTTAATATATTTTATAATGTAATTTATTCCTGTGAGGGCAAAGCTGATTTTTCAGCAGCCATTACTTCAGTCTTCAGTGTCACATGATCCTTCAGAAATCATACTAATTTGCAGATTTGCTGCTCAACAAACATTTCTTATTATCAGTGTTGAAATATGTTGTTCTGCTTAATATTTTTGTGGAAATTGTAATACATTTTTTTCAAGATTCTTGAAAGGGAACCACATTTATTTGAAATAGAAACCTTTTGTGACATTATGAATGTCTTTACAGTCACTTTTGAGCAATTTCATGCATCCTTATTGAATGTAAGTATTAACATCTTTAAAAAAAATCTTACTATCCCCCAAACTTTTGAACGATAGTATATATGTACACAGAAGTTGCATGCTGTAAGTGTAATATAAAGTGAGACTGTGATTTCTGTTTATTCCACGTATATACTACTCTAGTCCTATCAACATGAATGTTAGGAGTCAAAAAGCCCTTATGCTGATCTTCCTTTTGTCTCTCAGATATTCAGATAAACATTAAACGCTGCCTTAGCGATGGCTGTGACACACGTATTCATGGTCTGAAGACAATGGGCTACCAGATTACCAAGAGTAAAGAAGTTTCAGTATCCGATGCCTCAGCTATATGGTATCTGTCGCTCCTCACGTCTCTAGTCACCGCTTCCATGGAAACCAACCCTGTGCTTGCGCAGACCGTCCTACAGAGCACACAGTAAGTCAGGAGAAATTGACTAATGAATATTGCTTCTCACAAAAGCATGGCAGTAATACCACTGTATTTGTTGTGTTATAGGCACAAATTTGATTTATATAGTGTCCTGGATGGGAACTGTATGTTTCGTTCTCTATTTTGCCTATTGCATTTTGATTTGAAAATTTGAATTTAAAGAAGCAGGCGTTGATATTCTTCTGCGAAGACGGCGTTTAGCCACACTATTACACCATAGAGTGGCACGTTCTACAAGCTGTTGTTTTGGCAGACTGGCTTCAATATAAGCTGTGTTTGGATAAACGACAAACTTTTGAGTTCTGAAACTTACAGGATGTTTTTTATAGTACAGTGACCTCTTATATGTAGAACTATATAGAAATATGAGAACATTTTCCTCCATCACCTTTGCATATTCTACTGACTATCCTCTCAGATCTAGACATCCAGTACAGAGCTGAGCTCAATCATGACCCAGATGTGGATAAAGTGAAGGTGGTCACCCAGTGCTACAACTTCATAGAGGCTTCGTCCAATAGTGCAGATATCAACAAGATGACCAATGGTGAGACCGTGTCTTTCTGGCAGTCGGACGGTAGCGCTCGCTCACACTGGATAAGGCAAGCTGCCCATTTCATTTGTGCATTTTCATAGAATTAAAATAGAGCTGATGATGTAACACATTTTATTACCTTTACTAAATAACTAGTTAAATATTACCCCCATCACTTTCACAGGTTAAAGCTGAAGCCAGACATAGTTTTGAGACGCCTGGCCATTGCGGTAGCTTCTAATGACCACAGCTACATGCCGCAGCTGGTGTCTATAGCTGTAGGAAAGAACCGGCGCTCCCTGCAGGAGATCAGAGATGTGAGGATCCCCAGTAATGTCACGGGTTATGTACCGCTACTGGATAACGGCAACATCAGCCATCCTTGTGAGCATACACTTGTATAACAGAATCTTCTGTTTGAAGTTTGAATTTGTACACTACTATTCAAAAGTTTGGGGTTTTTGAAAGAAGTCTCTTATGGTCACCATGGCTTTTTGATAACAAAAATACAGTAAAACCGGTAATGTTGTGAAATATTACTACAATTTAAAAGAATTGTTTTCTGTTTTAATATATTTTATAATGTAATTTATTCCTGTGAGGGCAAAGCTGATTTTTCAGCAGCCATTACTTCAGTCTTCAGTGTCACATGATCCTTCAGAAATCATACTAATTTGCAGATTTGCTGCTCAACAAACATTTCTTATTATCAGTGTTGAAATATGTTGTTCTGCTTAATATTTTTGTGGAAATTGTAATACATTTTTTTCAAGATTCTTGAAAGGGAACCACATTTATTTGAAATAGAAACCTTTTGTGACATTATGAATGTCTTTACAGTCACTTTTGAGCAATTTCATGCATCCTTATTGAATGTAAGTATTAACATCTTTAAAAAAAATCTTACTATCCCCCAAACTTTTGAACGATAGTATATATGTACACAGAAGTTGCATGCTGTAAGTGTAATATAAAGTGAGACTGTGATTTCTGTTTATTCCACGTATATACTACTCTAGTCCTATCAACATGAATGTTAGGAGTCAAAAAGCCCTTATGCTGATCTTCCTTTTGTCTCTCAGATATTCAGATAAACATTAAACGCTGCCTTAGCGATGGCTGTGACACACGTATTCATGGTCTGAAGACAATGGGCTACCAGATTACCAAGAGTAAAGAAGTTTCAGTATCCGATGCCTCAGCTATATGGTATCTGTCGCTCCTCACGTCTCTAGTCACCGCTTCCATGGAAACCAACCCTGTGCTTGCGCAGACCGTCCTACAGAGCACACAGTAAGTCAGGAGAAATTGACTAATGAATATTGCTTCTCACAAAAGCATGGCAGTAATACCACTGTATTTGTTGTGTTATAGGCACAAATTTGATTTATATAGTGTCCTGGATGGGAACTGTATGTTTCGTTCTCTATTTTGCCTATTGCATTTTGATTTGAAAATTTGAATTTAATTTGTTGAGACATGTACAGGTGCATCTCAATAAATTAGAATGTCGTGGAAAAGTTAATTTATTTCAGTAATTCAACTCAAATTGTGAAACTCGTGTATTAAATAAATTCAATGCACACAGACTGAAGTAGTTTAAGTCTTTGGTTCTTTTAATTGTGATGATTTTGGCTCACATTTAACAAAAACCAATCAATTCACTATCTCAACAAATTAGAAAAATTTAATACACGAGTTTCACAATTTGAGTTGAATTACTGAAATAAATTAACTTTGCCACGACATTCTAATTTATTGAGATGCACCTGTATATATTGTAAGTAAATTGGTACTTTTATTTACCAGTGATGCATTAAATTGATCAAAAGTGACAGTAAAGATTTTTATAATGTTACAAAAGATTTCTATTTCAAACAAATGTTCTTCTTTTGAACTTTTTGTTCATCGTGAAACATTTAATTTGATTAGAGCAGTTTATTTTACTGTGTTTTTTGTATGCTTTTTGTTTTTTAGGAAAGCCTTACAGCACATGCCGCCCCTGTCCTTAACGCCGTCTTCAATGGAGTTCCCCAGATTCCTCTCTGCAAACATTCTGGAAGAGGTGGACGGCTTTTTACTGCGCATAGCAGAGTAAGAATCAAGCTCTGCTAGCACAAGCTCAGCTCAACTCAGCACGTTTAAATCTGTTATTAATAGGTCAAAACAATACTGACATGGAGGGCAATAGTGGCGAACCCCTTTCGGTTTTAATTACACAATACGAGTTAGCCTGATAATAATGGAAAACTGTTTTCTATCAGTGAATAATTACAGCTGTTTCATCTGAACGTAATTGGACACTCTGCTGAGAAAGCTTAACAGAAGTGCTTTGCTTTCAACCTTCCTAGCTGCTGTGTGTCTCCTGACGCTGAGCTGACTCTGTTAGCGTTTGCTCTGGCTCGAAGCAGTGTGGCTAAAGTCCTCATCTCTTTGTCTGGTATCTGTGAGCATCCGGACTCAGAGTACAGAGCTTCCTCACTGCTGGCCTCTATGGCGTCTGTCCGGTTAAGACTACTGTACCGTAACGGTAATGCACAGTGGTCCCAAAGGATTTTTTCAAATTTAATAACTAATACATTTTAATCAAATGAAAAAAGTTAACAGTAATAACACTGATATAGACGTTTCTTTTCATTTATCACTGTTCATGTAAATTAGGTAAACCCATCCAGCTCCATCTGCAAGCATGTGATGTAAAGAGTAAAGAGGAGAAGTCTGGCCCAGAAAACATGCTGACGGAGCCCAACACTGGAGATGGTACGGTCTTGGTTTTATTTGGTGTAGAGATGGGTATTTTGATAGAGTGCTTCACAGATAAATCACCAAAGTGCTGATGTGAATAGTGATGTCTTTTAAAAAACACAGAGCTTTCTCTGTGGAGAAAGGCTGTATGGTTGAGCGGTCATCTGTATTGCTTAGAAAGGAACTAATGCAAAGTGGACCCTCTTAATGCTTCATTTGTACCTGCAGGTTTTCTGACAGAGAATGGAAAGAGGAAAGCCAGTGTGATTCTGTCTACTGAAAACCAGAGCTGCTTCCAGGTCACACAGATCAAGATAAAAGTAAGAGAAACACTTTAGTAAACACTTGAGAATTGTGCTTTGTACTTCTTAAACATAAAATTAGAGTGTGTTCTGTCAGTACGGGAGTCAAATAAATGTTCATTTGGAAGCATACAAACTGATTTGATCTACATATCCTAGTTTTAAAGCACTGCTGTGTTCCTACGCTTCAGGTGCGTAAAGGAGCTATTGGTGCTAAATGTGGCTTGGTGTTTGCCTACAATGACAGCGAGGCATTTGATGCAGATAAACACTTCAAAAGATTCAAAAAGTATGACAGCTGGGACTACAAAGACTATAAAGAATTTGTCCAAGATAGGTATGTCACAGTGATTTGTTGTTGATTTGTTAATGTAACATTGTTGCTCATAAAAGACACCCAATATTGATCACATGAACTTTAAATGCTGCTTGTTTAGGAGTGTGTGAGAGAGTGAGCAGCTTGTGGGAATGCACTGTCTTGCCCAGTGCATGTGAGAGTGTATTTTGGTCTGTGCACATGTGCACACGGCCAAGATGGCTGTAAATTCAGTGAGAATGTTTCTGTGAGTCAATTGACCCCTCGCTGTTTTCTGCCTCTGTACCTCACACACTGTCACGTGTATTACATTCACAAACAAACACACACACTCCAGCACAAGGATAGAAGAGACCAGTGAGGACGAGCCCATTGGCTGGTTTGAGGTGGAAGAGGACTGGAACGACGTGGAGATCAAGCTGCAACAATGCAGAGTGTCAAAAGTATGGATTCTTTCTTTCTTTCTTTCTTTGAATGTTTGCTCCTGACATCAATCGAAAATCAAAAACTGTATGTTATTAACTCTGGGAGTTTGTCCACCTACTAAAGTTCTCCCTTCTCAGACTGAATGTCTTTATTACAGTTAAAATGACAATAATTAACAGTTTTTGCTGAATAATTTTTAAATGCTTTAAAAGCACAATGAAATGAAAGTAGTGACAGATCATTTCTTCTGTATTATGATGAAGATCTGAGTGAAATTGACTATCGAAAACTAAATGTAGGGTGGAGACTTGGTTTAATCCATCAGTTGTTGATTCAGTGGAGACGGATCTTAATGTCAGCTTGCAGTTGATCATTTCACGCGCAAGTCTGTCATTTTTTGTCATTTTAATTAAATATTATGAATTCTGAAAAATAATTTAAAACAATTGTAACACTTGATCAACAGCTATTCTTTTTGTCTTTCTGTGTGTAGTTTCTGATGGTGAAGTTCCTGTGTGCTAGGCAGGACACAGCAGAGCGGTTGGGGGTTCAGCAGATGAGTTTCAGTGGTTATTTGTGTCCACACTCAGAGCGGCTGGAGGATGTGGACGATCTGAGCGCTCAGGTCGAGGGGAGCATTTCAGGCCTGGTTACGGGTCTCGCACTCATGAAGAAAACCCTTTATTTCACCCAGCAGCTCACCAGAGATATGGTACACCCAGCAAATGTCCTCTTGCGACTGACCTAATTTATTAAGATACAACTCTGAAATTCGTAATGCATTTTTTCAGTGAACTTTGCATGCCTCTCTAAAGAGAGCTGTATACCCTGAGCATATGTTACAGGATGTGTCTCTGTCCAAGCAGAAGTCCCTGCTGGACTTCAGTGACCTCAGCATGCTGCTGTTCTGGGACTTCTACCACAAACTCAGATCTATGTGAGTAAAGCTGTAATGAGAACTTATGTTTATATTAATATGTGCATGGATTTTATTTGAAATGGTTTATAAATAGGATGTAATTTTTACTGCTCATACGGTGGGGTTACAGAAAGTATGTGTTAAAAATCAGTGGTTCATTTTACATTTTGCCATAAAGACTTTCTATTTCTAGGCCACTAATCTGATAAATTCACTGATCATGTGACTCTCTCTACAGATGGTCAGATGTTCATGCTTCCTGTAGATTATGATTTTTTCTGAAGTCCACTTGACATGAAATTTTAAGCCATGATGGCAAAGTTCTATGGTGTGACATGCTATACTTTATGTAAAACAAAATATATATAAAAAAGTATTTTAAAATTATAATTTAGAGATTACATGTATTATTTGTACTTTTTGTCCATTTAAAGGATCAATTGAAATGAACTAATTAAGGCAAAGGTATTTAAAAATAGACAGTAAAGAAGACTTTTTAAAATAAAGACTAGACACAAAGTTTAGACTTTGACATTAGAGTATTGTGGCCTTGTCCATGTAATAACACTACTTTTTAAAAGTTTGGGGTCAAAAGAAGTCTCTTATTCTTACCAAGGCTGCATTTATTTGATCATAAGTACAGTAACACAGTAACATTGTGAAATATCATTACAATTTAAAAGAATTGTATTCTATTTTTAATATTCTTCAAAATGTCATTTATTTCAGCAGCCATTACTCCAGTCTTCATTGTCACATGATCCTTCAGAAACCATTCTAATATTATGATTTGGTGAAACATTTCTTATGAACTAAGGCAGGTAAAATGTGTTTAAAAATGATATTTTCCAATGTCTGCCACGTATGTGTGTGCATACACTTTCAGTGAGGGAGAGGAGGCCATAAAGACAAGAGTTCTCCTGCTTCAGCTGCTCCAGAACTGCTTCCCAATGCTGCCCAGCCTGACAGAGTCCCAGTCGTCAGACATCACAGCCTCAGCTTCAGCTTCAGCATCACCCTCAGCCAGCACAGACGTGGATCCTGCAGAAGCTGTCGGAGAGCTCTACAGTCACTTGTGTCAAGGTAAGTCTCACATACTGCTCTGTATGACTCAACGGCATGACTGTGGCAAATCGAGACACACTTCAGTGGTTTGTTTGTAATGCCTTGCTGCTGTATAGCATGTACAATTTGATTTGTGTTTGTGGAGAACTGCTGGAAACCAGCTGTGAACAGAACATGAAACATAAATAATGATCTGTTGGAACAGCGTCTAAGCTGAAGTAGAAGTTTGTAGCTGCTCTCAATTTGCTTCCATTGTAGCAAACATTACTGATCAAAAGTTTGGAGTGTGTATTTTTTAAATGTTTTTCACAGAAGTCTCATATGTTCAACAAGGTTGTATTTATTTAATCAAAAATACAGTAAAAGCTGTGATATTGTGAAATATTACTACAATTTAAAATAAGTTTTTATTTTATTTTAATATATTTCTAAATAGAATTTATTCCTGTGGCAAAGCTCAAGAAACTTAAAAAGAACAGAATTTATTTGAAGTATAAATCTTTTGTTACATTATACATTTCTTAATGTCACTTAATCAGTTTAATTTGTCTTCTCTAAATAAAAAACAACATACTAACCACAAACTGAATAGTAGTGTAATTTGTAGTTTCCAAAAAATATCAGTTAAAATTGATGGCTAAAAACACACAGTTAAATTGGTTAAAAGCAATATAATAATGCCATTGTGTCTTGCTTGGTGCTTGAGAGAATAACCCACAGTTTTTGTGCTGCGCAGTGGTGGACGGTGCTGAAGGACAGACTGCAGTGGAGAAAGCTCTGAGAAAAGAAGCTGTGAAAGCCATCCTCAGTGGAGCTGCCATTTTCTTCCCTGACAAACAGAGCCGGAGGGACAAACTCTTTCACATGATGGTAAGTAAGACTATGAGGGTGTACTTGCCTTGGCTGAATATTGTTATTGAATTGCTATTGTATGAGATTTTTTTTGTTGTTGTTGCTGCTTTTCTCAGAAAAACATAACTGAAGAAAATCAGCCAGAGTCTGTTAAACTGACATTTGAGTCTCTCTGCAGTTACTTCAGGTATCAGACTCCTCCCTTTAAACTTTTTTTTTGTCCTGTTAAAATTTATAGCATACTTCCTGCTCTCACACGTCGTCTCGCTTATCTCTGTTTGCAGCGATCAGGACCCGAAAGGTCTCCTCTTGCTGCCCTCTAAAGGAGCCCCATCTGACTTTGACATCTCACCTGTCCTGACCGTCATGGACACGCTGCTCATTGTGGCCACTAGAGAGGTATGTCTGCCCTACGCTGACAGCCAACCTCATCTGGTCACTCCTGCTCACATATATAAGCTCCTGCAAATAGCTGACACATACTTTAGATGTTTATGTGTTAGCTGACACCTCGTATTGTAATGCATTGCATGACAACACCCTAATAGTTTTCCCTTGTCTAGCTTTATAAAGAGTAATGTGATGTTGATCCATGTAAAATGCCCCTCTCCCTTTCTTCAGTGTGAGGTGTTGATGTTGGATTCCAGAGGAGGGTCCATTTGGAGGGTCCTGCTGTCTCTGTTCTGGGCTTTACAGGGCAGCCTGCTGTCCTGGTGCTTCCTGCAGCTCAAAGGAGGAACGGCCACCTCTGCTGATCTGGCCAGGGAAATCCTGCTGAAATGTTAGTGTGCTTTTCTTGGGTTTCCATTCTGCTTTTATAGAGCCCTTCAAAATACAGTATGGTGAAAAATCTGAGACTACTTGTGAAATTTCTTATATGCTGTGGTAAATGTATATATTAAATATTTATATTTTAATGCCTTTTTCATTACAAATTGTATTATGAGCATAACAGTTACAAAGCTGAATTGAAGAATTAACATTCGGCACTTAAGTGGTATGTGTTTGTGTAAAATCTGATGAGGAGAAAGTTTGAAAGAGCATCTTGAGAAGTTTTAAGTTTAAATTTTGATTTCTAGTTTTTCAGTGGTCTCTCTTCAGTGGTCTCTGGTCTCTATAAAGATGTAGTCCAGCTCTGTGTCTTTTTGATTCAGATATTTATGTTCTGTAAAACAGCAAATGGTTGTACAACATTTGAGTAACACTTTTCAGTCTAGCTCTAAAGACTGTGCTGTCAGCTTTATTTGACTGTCAGTGAGAGGTTTTTCAGAGTGAATTGTAGCTACACATGACTAGGGCTGCACGATAAATTGCATGCAATATTTAACGCGCATCTTGTCAGTAAAGCCATTCTGTAATCAGCGGTAAATCTCCATCACCTGCGGGCTTTCACATGGAGCAGCATTAACTACACAGAGCCGTTGTTCACCGACAAGCTGCGCAAAACATGCGCAAAATATGATCGTGGTTTTGCGCAGCTTGTCAGTGAACAACGGCTCTGTGTAGTTAATGCTGCTCCACGTGAAAGCCCACAGGTGATGGAGATTTACCGCTGATTAAAGAACCGGCTTTACTGACAAGATGCGCGTTAAATATCGCATGCGATTTATCGTGCAGCCCTACACATGACGGAACATAACATAGGCACTTTTTTAATGAAACACTTTTATTCAGTAAGAATGCATTAAAAGTGACATTTATAATTGACATTTCTAATAGTGCTGTCAAACGATTAATCGCAAAATAAAAGTTTTTGTTTACGTAATATATGTATGTGTACTGTGTATATTTATTATGTATATATAAATGCACACACATGCACGACACGTATATATTTAAGAGAAATGTGTTATGTTTATATACTAAATATATTTAAAATGTAAATTCAGGTAAATATTTTCAAAATATATACTGTATATATGTGTATTTATATATAACGTTACATAATAAATATACAGTACACACACATATATTATGTAAACAAAAACTTTTATTTTGGATGCGATTAATCGTTTGACAGCACTAATTTATAAACATTTATAATGTTACAAGAGATCTTCTAAATGCTGTTCTTTGGAACTTTCTGTTATCAGAGAATCCTGAGTGAGTATGATTTTCACACATATATTAAGCAGCACAACTCTTTGATAATTATCAGAAGTGTACCAAACCAGCATATTAGAATAATTTCTGAAGGATCATGTGACACTGAAGACTGATGTAATGGCTGCTGAAAATTCAGCTTTGCCTTCACAGGAATAAATTACATTTTAAAATATATTAAAATACAAAACGATTCTTTTAAATTGTATTCTTTTGCTATATTACTATTTCTACTGTTTTTTGATCAAATAAATGCAGCCTTACCTTAAAAAAAATTACGGACCCCAAACTTTTGAACAGTAGTGATTATTTGCGGTAGTCTGATGAAGTGTGAATATATCTGTATTGTTTCTCTTGGATATTAGATGTGGAACAGTTCCTGTCAGGTACCAGAGACATACTGAGTCCTCTTATTAAGCGCTTCTCTGGAGCTGACATCATAGAGAAACTCAGTGGATCAATTCTTGCCATGGCAACAAGACAGCTGGTAGCAGACCGCTTTATCCCATTAAATCTTATTTAATTATTCATTCATTTATTTATGCTTCTGTGTGTATGTATATATTAAGTGTGGATTCAATTGTGTTCTGTTGTTAGACAATCTTCCTGCTTGAGCTGTGCGCTCTGGATATTCCTCACTGTGTGCTGCTCAAGAGATTCTATCCTCTGGCAGACCTGCTCAAGAAGCTGTCTAGTGATACAGAGGACATCTTCTCTAAGGTCAGTTCACTCTGTGTCTTAAAAAGTTTGATACGTTTAAGTTAAAATACATAGAATTAAAATGACTGAAAACTAATGTAAAGGAGTATTTCATTTGGGTTTTCTACATCCAAATTAAAAAGTAAGATAACCAAGCCACTAATAACTGAATGACAGTTGGTAAGAATAATGCATTTATCAGTTTTTATCCCTGTGTGTTTGTAGGTTGATATGGAGGGCTGTCAGCAGACTCAGCAGCCTGTTGTATTAAGGACGTGGCATATGGAGTCACCTCATAACTATGAGAACAGCAGACACGAGACCACCGTCTTTGTCTGTCCTGGGGCCACATCCTTCGAGGTGGAGTTTGATGAAGGTTGTGAAACAGAGAAAAGGTGTGAAGAGCTTATTCTACAATTCTACTGCCACCTTCTGGTGAAAACGGGAATCAAACTCACACTTTTCCTGTTACAGATACATGTGTGGCTTGAGTTAAAGTTTGTTTTTTGTTTTTTTGGTAGGTATGACTATCTGGAATTCACTGATGCTAGGGGAGGAAAAGTGCGATATGATATGAAGGTCGGCACGGAGAAATGGCCAAAGGTACAAAAACGGTTTACTGTACTATTTTAACTATAGTGGTCTGCCAAATGTGTTATGTAATTATATTAAAGATAATTTGTTCAAATCAATGCAATTAATTTTAGCCTTTGCTTGAATGTGATTCCTTTTTTTTTATATCTTGAAGAAGAATAAAAATAAATGTTATGTATAATAAATCATGCTTTTTTTTCTTCAGAAAGTGACGTTTAAAGCAGGTCCCCAGCTGCAGTTTCTGTTCCACTCAGACAGCAGTAATAACGAATGGGGTTACAAGTTCACAGTGACAGCATATGGCCTGCCAGACGTCACCGTGTCCTGGACCTCAGATCTGCAGCTCCTCGTGTCCAGGCTAATGGGCCGTCTGGCCTCCCGCACCATGGCTTTGAAATCACCTTACGGTGTGATAATTGTGTACTTTTGATTATTTCTCTGTTAAATTATTTGAAAAAGGCTAATTTTATCCCTTGTATTTAATTTAAATGTGTGTGAGCACATAAATGTGTTCTCCTTCAAATAAATAAATTGTAAAAAGGTAAAAAAAAAAATTAAAAAAAAGTGAATGTATAGACCGACATTGAATATAAATATCACAATATGAATTGCAGTTAGTTGACTTACGATGATGGTTTTGTGTTATGTCTGCCTTCCTCTTGAAGAGATCCGTGGTGTAAAAGAGTTGCCTGCAGGCTTGATGAACCATGTCCTGTCCTGTCCTCTATGGAAGCCTATGTTCAGACATGGTTTGAGTGGACTTCATGGAGAAAATAAATTAGCCCTGGCCAGCCCAGACACCGACCCGGTGAGAGTACTTTGGTTATGCCTTTATGTGTGCGTTTCAGTCAAAAAAAAAACGTTACAAAAAAATCTAATCATGTTTGTGCGTCTTGTGCTATTTTGTTCTGCAGGAAGAGCCAGCACCTTTGGGAGATGAATTGGTGGAATTCCTTAAGGACTTTGCCTGCTGGGATCCTTCGCAGGATGCTTCTGATGGCAGGACGGAGTTAATGAGGGCCCTTTTGATGACTTGCAAGAAGCAGCCAATCAGGAACGAGATTGCTGCAGGCTCAAAAGTGGACCAGGCTGTGAACGCCACAAATTAACAGCTAATCCTAGATATTCACATACTTTTGCCACCCACAGATATGTAATATTAGATAATTTTCCTGATTAAAAAAAAAAGACAAAGTATATATTTTCATCTCATTTGTTTGATTGGGTTCTCTTACCCGGTGAGAGTACTTTGGTTATGCCTTTATGTGTGCGTTTCAGTCAAAAAAAAAACGTTACAAAAAAATCTAATCATGTTTGTGCGTCTTGTGCTATTTTGTTCTGCAGGAAGAGCCAGCACCTTTGGGAGATGAATTGGTGGAATTCCTTAAGGACTTTGCCTGCTGGGATCCTTCGCAGGATGCTTCTGATGGCAGGACGGAGTTAATGAGGGCCCTTTTGATGACTTGCAAGAAGCAGCCAATCAGGAACGAGATTGCTGCAGGCTCAAAAGTGGACCAGGCTGTGAACGCCACCTGGGCGGCCATGGTGTATCACACACCAGCACTTCACCACAGTCTTAGGAGCTTTGGTAATTAAATACAATTTAAGAGTTGCATTCAGGTTCAAGAGAGCAAACACTAAAGAGAAATGTTGCAGACACACTCTTGAAACATTTCAAATTAATTATTAATTTATTAATATTTTTTATTAATGTGTGTGCGTGTGTGTTTATGTATGTATGTGTATATATAGAACAGAGAAAACAGTATTTGGTCAATGCCACAAATTTGGTTAATGACAAATTGGTTAATTTCATATTGCTTCATAATGTGAAAATCCTAAAACTCCAGGGCCTTGTTAAACTATCAAAACCTTGATCCCTTGGTACAGACAGTATTTGATCTGTTTCTGTAAGATGTTTGTATGAACAGGACAGTTTGTCGGTCATACATGTCAATCCCAGTCCCAATGTCCTTTTGAGCATGTTTCCTTTTCTTATCTCCTCTGCATTAGTTGCTAAAAACGGCCAGAGCAGTCTTAGCGAGGACCTTTTGCAGGTCTATGCCCTCACCGATGGCATCAGAACGTGGATGGTAAGTATAGCTTATAATTTTTGGTTTTAAAATAACATAATATTTCTTTTTATTTACTTCTCCCATTTGATCCGTTTTGGTAGTTGGAAATGAAACAGCGCTACCTTATGGGTAAAATGAATGGAGTAGAGGAAAAAGAAGACCGACAGAATGAGGTTACAATGGAGTCACTTGGTAAATATTGATGCTATAAACATGCCTTTGATGCAGAGTTTCTTAAACTAATTCTTCTGCATTCTCACTATCTTTTTCACTCTCTTAACAGCTGAAATTTGCATCAGTAGAAGTTTGTTCCTCTTCCGATTCAGCCCGAGTGGAGGAACCTCTGCACTTCTGGAACAAGAGCCTTCCAGACCAGAAGATGGCGCTTGTGCTGCTCCTCTTCTTCTATCTGTTTCCACTTCAGAGGGAGACTTCCAGCCCAGCCCCTCTGTTCCCTCCATCTCCCAGAACCCTGAGGCAGCAGAAGCAGCGACGCCCCCAGAGGCCAGTCAGGGGGACCAGATGTTCTCCACACCAGTGGAGGCTGGACCTTCCAGCAGCATCAGTTCTCAGGGTGCCACGGGCTCCTCAGAAAGTCTTCAGTCTCAGACCGGAGAGCCTCTGTCCCCGTTAGTCTTCCCACGTAAAGCACCTTTCAGTCGGGGCCGCTTGAGGCTCCTTTCCTTACGATCTATGGAGGAGCCTCGCATGGCACCACCTGTTAAAGAGCGCTTCCTGATACTCAAACACATCCTCAGCTTTATGAAGGACATGGTCATTAATGAGAGCAGGTATGTTCACGTCATGATGTGAATGGCTAGATGTATGATGCTATGATTCAACAGATTTTGATGCATAAGCTTAAAGGGATAGTTCACCCTCATGTTGTTCCAGACCTTTAAAAATGTATTTCTTCTGCTGAACACAAAAGAAGATATTTTGAAGAATGATGGTAACCAAACCACTGCTGGTCCCCCTTTGACTTCCATAGTGTTTTTTCCCCTTACTATGGAAGTCAGAAGGGACCAGCAACTGTTTGGTTACCTGCAATATATTTTTTTATGTTCCACAGAAGAAAGAAGCTCATACAGGTTTGGAACAACATGAGGGTGAGTAAGAATTAAAATTTTTGGGGTGGACTGTCCCTTTAAAGCTATAGTTCAGTTTACTCTCATTCATGACGTTCTAAACCTTTATAACTTAATGTTACGCTGTAACACAAAAGTAGATACTGTGTTGTTCTGGTGTCCTGTTGGCTCTTCCACACAATAAAGGTGAATGGTGACCAGGGCCTCCTAAAGTAATGAATATTATTATAAAAGTAGCCCTTACAACTTGTTTGCTTCTGAAACAATAAAATAGCTTTGTGACTGAAATTGCAGCCATTAGTTGCTGAAATATTATGTATGTTTTTGAATACTATTTGATCCATGTGTCAAAATCTGTTGAATTTTGGTAGCATTTTCTGTACATTTGAGCCTTCTAGTGAAAATGCTTCTCTTTTTTTTGCATAATTGCAAAATAATTAATTTGATCAATATTATTACATTTAATGTAAATAATCACTACCTTTCAAAAGTTTGGGGTCTAATTTTTTAAGCTAAAAACAGTAAAAATAATAATATTGCAAAAGATTACAATTTAAAATAGTTGTTTTGTATTTGAATATATGTTAAAATGTAATTTATTCCTATGATCTGAAGTTTCAGCAGCCATTACATCAGTCTTCAGTGTCACATGATCCTTAAGATTTAATTTGGTGCTCAAAATGTTTTTTTTTATTACCGGTATTATCATTATTGAAGGCAGTTGTGCTGGCTAAAAGTATTAATTTCTTAAAAAAAAAAAAATGTCTGAATGACCCCAAACTTTTGACCAGGGTGTATATGTTTTTACATTTAATATATACAGTGCTGCTTGAAAGTTTGTGAACCCTTTAGAATTTTCTATATTTCTGCATAAATATGACCCAAAACATAATTAGATTTTCACACAAGTACTGAAAGTAGACAAAGAGAATCCAATCAAACAAAGGAGACAAAAATATATACTTTGTCATTTATTTATTGAGAAAAATTATCTGGTGTTAAATATTTGTGAGTGGCAAATGTATGTGAATCTTTGCTTTCAGTATCTGGTATGACCCCCTTTTGCAGCAATAACTGCAAGTAACGTTTCTTGTAACTGCTGATCAGTCCTGCACAAAGGCTTGTAGGAATTTTAGCCCATTCCTCAGTACAGAACCACTTCAACTCTGTGATGTTGGTGGGTTTCGTCCTATGAACTGCTTGCTTCAGGTGCAATAACGGCAAGTAACTTTTCTTGTAACTGCTGATCAGTCCTGCACAATGGCTTGTAGGAATTTTAGCCCATTCCTCAGTACAGAACCACTTCAACTCTGTGATGTTGGTGGGTTTCCTCCTATGAACTGAGCTTCAGGTCTTTCCACAACATTAAGTTCTGGACTTCGACTCGGCCTTCCCAAAACATTAACTTTGTTCTTCTTTAACCATTCTTTGGTAGAACGACTTGTGTGCTTGGGGTCGTTGTCTTGCTGCATGACCCACTTTCTCTTGAGATTCAGTTCTCGATTCAGAACTTCAGAATTTGCTGGTATAATTCAGAATTCATTGTTCCATCAATGATGGCAAGCCGTCCTGGACACGTCTTGCTTTTAGAGTGTTCTTTGTTGGTGGACCCCTCCTGGGGAGGGTAACGGTGGTCTTGTATTTCCTCCATTTGTACACAATCTGTCTGACTGTGGATTGGTGGAGTCCAAACTCTTTAGAGATGACTTTGAAACCTTTTCTAGCCTGATGAACAACACCAACTCTTTTTCTGAGGTCCTCAGAGATCTCCTTTGTTTGTGCCATGATACACTTCCACAAACATGACCAAACTTTGAAAGATCCCTGTTCTTTAAATAAAACAGGGCACGCAATGACACCTGATAGTAATTTCACTGATTAAAAACACCTCTGAACAGATGGACTCTAATTTCGGACCCCTTTAAATATTTCTTAGTTTGTTTCATGTTTCTTTTTGTCAAAAAACAAACAAACAAATCTTTCAGTTTATTTCTAGGTTTATTTGTTTATTTCCAGATTTTCAATCTGTACTTGCACATATATGGTGATTTGTCCAGCGGTCATGAAGTGTGTTTCTGTGTGTGTTCAGTGTTCTTCATACTCTGGCTCTGAAGAAGGCCCAGGCTCTGAGTGTTTGTGAGGTGCTGGAGCTCGTCCAGCAGTGTATACTCACCCTGGGGAAACCGCACCTCTTCCAGGCACCCTGTATTTTGTTTCTCCAGGAACTCTTAGCGTGTCAGAAAGATTTCACCAAGTATGTTATCTAAAACAATGGTTCTCGAACCTGTCCTGGGGACCCCCCAACCACTGCACATTTTGTATATCTCCCTCATAGGCCACACCCAATTCATGCCTTGCAGACTCTACTAATGAGCTGAAGTGTGTTAAATGAGGGAGACACAAATTGTACAGTGGTTGGGAGTCCCCAGGACAGGTTTGAGAGCCACTGATCTATAAAACCATTTCATGTCATACTAATATCTGACTACTGTTCTAATATTATTATTTTAACTCGACCTGTCTGTCTTTCTCAGTTACTTTTCTCAGTTGGTGGGCAGCGGGCAGGAGATGAGGGAGCTGGTCAGACACTCGTATCATCTGCTGGTTCTCATGCTAGTAGAGGCCGTGCAGAGCTTCAATGCACTGAATGAGAAGTGGGTTTTTAAATATTGAATGTGAATTATGAAATCATTGTGTCGTGTGCTCTAGAAGTTAGTAGCAATAAATATGCTACACAAGGACTGCCAATGCATTCTGTATGTCTTATGTCCATTGTGTGTTTTGTGTGTCCTTAGGGCCCTGCTTCCCGCCCTGTCATGTGTGCAGACATGTCTGCTACATTTGCTGGATATGAGCTGGGAAGCAGAAGATTTATCACTGTTTCTGGACATCAAACTGCCTGATCTTCTGCTCACCATGTCCCAAGAAAACATCAGTGTGCATGATATTGCCATCAGGTATGAGACATTGATCAGAACGCATATGCTGTGCTGGGAATGTAGGGACTTCAGCCTTAAAAAACAAAAAAAAGAAAAATCAATGGGATGGGATCAAATGGGATGTTTACAAAAAAAAGATACATGAAGTGTATAACTGTGTTGTTTTTTGAGTAGCTCATGTTGAATGTGGCTGACACTGTCCCAATACAAATGTAAGGAAAGGTCTGTTATAATATAAATTTGATTTCACTTTATTCTTAAAATTCCCATGCTTTCTATCGTAAATGTGAAATATTATACAGACTTCTGGATAAAATGAGGAGAAAGGAGCTTTCAGTGTCTTTTTTAGTATCATTATCATTTGACTTCTAATGTAAAGTTGTTGAAGACATCTTGAGGGCACATTTGGTGAGCTTCGTTGTTGTGATTCTTGTGATATTGACACTCTTAATCTACACTTAATTCCTGATCTCACAAACTAAGCTTAAAAGTATCCAGTGTTTTATTTGGCTTCTCATCTGTCATTTTCTCCATGTGACATGATGGTGTAGCCAGTGGACGGAGGAGGATGAGATCATTGACTACGAGAGGAACACGGAATGGATGGATGAGTGTTTGGATGGCATGTTTGAGAAATGGTTTGACAAGATCAGCCAGGCCTCAGTGGAGGACAAGAGAAAGGTACAGATATCAAATCAAATAAATGCTTTCCTGGGAAACAAAACTGTTGAATAAGAAGACAGTTGAATTAACACAAAAACTAGCTTAGGGTGGAGTTACAGCATTATTTTGCATGTAATGTTTATTGATGTATACCTGCAAACCTTTTTACGTCACAATTCAGTGTTTAATCTGTGCAAACACAAGCAAATGTCAGCACCCATCAATGCCTAATCATAAGACAGTCACTTTATTCAGGTAGAACAAATATTTGGATTGGATTTGCTTAGTCTTTTGTTAGTCAGGCTAGTTTAACTGTGAACAGTGTTTTTTGCTCTCTGCAAATTTTACATATTCAGACACAAGTTACTGCAAACAGCCCTCAAAATAATGTTATTTGCAAACCCCATATGAAACTAAACATATTCTGCATTTTTGGTGCTCTTTCACTAATTTTTGATCTTTGCAGATGCACATGTTCATTGCACGCTACTGCGACCTGCTGAATGTGGAGATTTCATGTGACGGCTGCGAACGGATCGCACCATGGCATCGCTACCGGTGCCTGCAGTGTACAGATATGGACCTGTGCAAGACCTGCTTCCTCAGTGAGTCACACCATCACAGTCAGCAGTGGCTTACACTATAATGAAGCAAAAACTAAATGTTAATCATACATTATTTCCCTTTTTATTGCATTCACATTAAGTTAGGCACTACACAAATAATTTATTGCAGCAGTATATTTCTCGCACACTTGATAAGTTGGAGTGCCGTGTATTGAACAGCTCTGTTCTCCTGGTTCAGGTGGTGCTAAACCAGAAGGCCATGAGGATGACCATGAGATGGTGAATATGGAGTATGCCTGTGACCACTGCCAGGGCCTTATCGTGGGCAGCAGGATTAACTGTAATGTCTGTGAGGACTTCGATCTCTGCTTTGGCTGTTATAATGCCAAAAAATACCCAGACAGGTAATACACGTGAGAAGATCACTAATGGCAACTAAACAATGAACATGAAAATATAAAATATTTGCAAACAATTTTTCAAACCAAAATGAATCCACATCAAGTCAGATACATTTTAATCAATTTATGACACAAGAAAAATTGGATACCTCAATTGAATGAGTGAATTTCAGATCTGGTTATTTAAAGATGCAAATCCTTCTTTTTTATATACATATATATATGATACTTTATGTTGTTGTTTTCATATTTATTTATTTATTTTGCGTTTTAATATAGTTTTTATTTAATTTTTTTTCAGTATAATTTTATTTAGTAATTTTTCATATATTTTTTACTTCTTGTTTTTTTTTTTATAGTTATATGTTGTATGTTTTTATATATTTTCTTTTTTTATTTTGTTGTTTTTTTTACACACACACACACACACACACACACACACACATATATATATATATATATATATATATATACATACATACATATACATACAATTTTTTGGAGTAACTTGAGGTTCAGTGGCAAAACAATTTTTCAACACACTCACTTCACACACATCCTCACATACACTCACTCTCAAACACTTTTTCAACACACACTCACTTCACACGCATCCTCACAT